AAGACAGGGCCACTAAACAAAAGGCAACTTCCTTCAGTTCTTGCATTTCAGTGAAAGTTCTGTCTTCCTAGAACCTGACTGGGGCCCCTTTGGCCGGACAGGTATATATGGTGGGGGCAGGCAGGGAGAGGAGGCAGAGTTCACCACCGGTGTCAGCTTTATAGCCAGAGGTCAAAGAATGCTCCCACCCCAGATCTGGCAGTCTCTCTCCAGTGAGTCATCTCTTTGACTTTTCAAAATTATCTATCTATAGTGTTTTTAAGTGGTGACATTTTGCTGAGTCTGAGGAATTTATGTGGAAAATGAAATCTTCAAGAGTTGGTTCTGACTTGGTGGGTCAGGCACATACACTGAGATGAGGCAGCTGCTTTGCCAAGGAAGAGCATAAGTACAGAAAGGTTGCTCTCTGGTGGGACTGATAAAAACTGCAGTACTGGGGACTCCAGGGAAAATGAAGACAAATTTTAAATCAGATTCCTGTTTTTGTCCTTGGAGAGTATGTGAAGAGCTCTGGATCCTCTCCTTCCTGTTCATTGTAAAGAGGTTGATACCTTAAGGAGACCTGACCAACTACAGGGCAACTACATTCCCAGCCCTTTCTTCTCCATTTAGCTTTGTGTCTGGTGTGATCATGACTGTGTGGTGGGTGGTTGGTTAGCTCATGAAGTTTACTGGGTCAGCACTTCCCAGTTGGCCGAGGTGATTGATTAGAAAGATTGAACAGGCCAAGGCCCTTGCAAGCCCTGAGTCATGCTGGAGTTCTGGAACCTGCTGGAAAGTCATGCTGGAGTTCTAGAGCCTGGTGTGGCATGTTCCACTTCAGGGGGACTTGGTTACCAGACTCCCAGAGATGGGCCTTCCATTGGAACGTTGTGTCACTAGATAGCAAAGTGAGATACCTTGCCCTCCAACTGAAAGAATAGGTCCTAAGGCTGTTTTTGTGTCTCCTAGCTAATAAACAGACATGTTTGGCAGCATTTGGTGGAGTGCTTTTTCCCAGTACACACAAATCTCCCAAATTCATCATGAGAACTGAAAATCGCTGAATGGCCAAATTGGCTTAGATCAGTTGGCAACATCCTGTGTGTCTCCTCCTTCCCGTTTATCCATTAAGGAACCCACTATGTGCCTATCCCAGGGATTTGTGAGGGTGCTGTTGGCAGGTAGCGGATGGAATGGATTAGAAGTGAGGGAGGAGAGAGAGGAAGGGATGGGAGAGGAGAGGATGGGAGAAGAGGGGATGGGACAGAGAGAATGGGACAGGAGAGGAAGGGGTGGTATGGAAGAGTAGGGGAAGGGATGGGAGAGAAGGGGAAGGAACAGGAGAAAGGGTGATACTGAAGGTCCCTGGAGCCTGAGGGCCCCCTCTGTGGTGAGGAGGGAGAATGGGGTGACTCTCCCTGAGAGTCATGGCCTCCCCTCCTGGGGAGTCTGGAGAGGTGTTTCTACCCTCCAGTCGCAGGGCACGGAAGGAGAGGTGCTCCTATTTCTTTGAGAAATAGAAAAGTGAAGTCAGTTAAGAGTAGTTTAAAATTAACAGATTATGGGATACACACACCGTCTTCCCCACTTTGCTTAGACAATATTCTCTTTCCTTGACATCCCAACTCTCAGACCCAGGCATAAAGATGGATATCTTAAGGAACTGAGCAAACAATCCTAGGGCATGACAGCACTGGGAGGGAAAAGATAGTGTTCCGTTGTTAGTAAAGACTACTCAGATGTTGCTGTAGATTAAGTTTTTGATTGAGTTGTAATTCTCTAGATGCCTTTTTCTTTGTAACTCTATAAAAACTGCTGTGTTTGTAACCAACGTGGAAAAGATTTGGGAGACAACTCTGGCTCTTGTCCAGATTTGCTGGCTTTTCTGTCATTAAAGCTTGCCTGCACCCTTCCTGTCTCTGTTTGGCTGCAGTGAGAGGTGGAGGAGCCCCTTTCAGTTGGGAACATGACCAAGACTCATAATGACTTTGGGTCAGGGGTGGGGTCACGGCAGGCCGGGTAGGTGGCTTGGGTTTGATGACAGTTCTTGGGCAGGAGAATTGGAAAAGATGAATTGGGAGAAAGGTAGGGAGGCAGAGTTCTAGAAAGAGGTAGGATCCTGTGGGGTCCTGTGACTTCCTTCATTTGGCCATCTCGAAGGGAGCGGTGGATTATCAGAAGGCTTCCCTACTGGTCTGCCCTCAATTCATTCAAACAGGCTTATTAATTAAGCTCTTATTGTCTGTGCCAGGAAAGGTGGTAAGAGTTAAGATACAGTCGTGTGTAAAGTCACAGATCCCTGAGTTCAGGAAAGTCATTAATCTTAAAACTTTTTGTGAAAAACAGCAACGGCGGGTGATCTGAGAAGCTTTTGGAAGGCAGAGCAGGGGAGGCCACGAGAGTCTGGAGAGGTGTTTCCACCCTCTGGACGCAAGACTTGGAAGGACAGGTGCTCCGCGCAGGGTCAGCGCTGGGCCAACCCAGGTCTTGGGCTGGGGACGCCCCGCGCGGCTCAGCGGCTTCGCCGTGGGGGGCGCTGCCTCCTCCGGGACGACGGGGGGCGCTGCGGGACGGGCGGCGGGGGAGGCCGGGGCCCGGGCCGCGAGCCGCGCGGCGGATGGAGAGTCTGGCCGCGGCCAGCGGCGCCGCCTTCTCTTCGGGCCGGGCACGGAGGGCCGGGGCCTTTGTGTGAGGCGGCGGCGGCGATGGTGCTCGGGGCCGCGCTGAGCCGGGTAAGCGCGGCCGGCCGAGGGCTGCCCCCGGCCGAGGCCCGACCCCAGCCCGGGCTTTCTCTGGGAGGGCCCCCTCCTGCCTGCTCCCCTCAGCCGACCGGCCATCACCCCCGCCCGCCCGCGCGCTCGGCCGCCCCAGCCGCCCCTTCCTCCGCCCCTGGCCAGCCCCGCGCACCCGTCAGGTCGCCCGGGCGAGCCCTGCGCTGCTCGCGGAGGGCCCCGGCGCTAGGTGTCCTCGGATGGCGCGCCCCAGACCGCCCAACGCCTTTCCTTCTTGGATTGGCCTCTCGGGCCTGGGTAGGGGGGCGCCACCGGATTGTTGGGGCGTCCGGAAGTTTCCACCCCCTTACCACCCTCTCACTGGCTCAGGCTGACCCGTGCCCCGACCCGCCTACCGTTGATGGGTGGCCACCGGGGCCCGGGAGACCCTTGGCTGGTACCCAGCAATATTCAGAAGCTTCCTGGGCCCCAGAAAAAGTTGGGAAGTGTTGCTGGAATCTGGCGAGATGGAGGAAGGGGCTTCGTTGCTTAGGCGAGTCGTGAGACTGAGCAAGAATGCAACGAGCTCCTCTTTTTCAGGACTGCAGGGGAACGGGGTAAAGTGTTTGGAAAAGCCTCTACAAAGGACCCTTACCTGTGCGGTCAGATGTCTGTCTCCTGGCAGCAAGTCTGTCTGTTCATACAGGGTCAATATAAGCATAAATCCTGAAAAAGGTGGCAAAGGAATAAAACGTAATCAAGTAATATTAAATGCTAGCCACTATGGTTTACTTTGCTTTACTTCTTTGGGTTCTGAGTGTTTTGACTTCATCCACAGAATACAGGGGATTCTGTGACAGCAGGTTGGTGGGTGGCAGGGTTGTAGAAAAGCCAGAGAGCAGGGTGTAGTTTGGATAGAAAGAGACTGGAAATTCAAGACAGGGAGATTTATTTAGACATTTATTTAGGGGCTGAGAGGACACAGCAATGACAGAAAACTAAAAGATAGAGTGCCCTTATCTTTTCCTCTGTAGCTAATGGAGCTTTGATAATTGTGCTCAAGTATGTGGGTGGCATTTGGCATTGTGAAGGAAGACAGTACACTGTGTGAGACAGGAAAGCTTGTGTTTAGGAGGAAATTAATATGAGAAAAACCTGAGCCAGTTGCTCTGGTTGTGAAGTATAAGTAGTGTCCTAGGGAATGCCCCTGGCTGGGCACTAACTTCTGTCCAACAAGGCCACATAAACTCTCTTACAGATTCTTAAGACCAAGCTGACAGATTGTTTTCAGTCCTTTGGTTTTTTTTTTTTTTTGCAGTTTTTGGCTGAGGCTGGGTTTGAACCCACCACCTCTGGCATATGGGGCCGGTGCCCTACTCCTTTGAGCCACAGGCGCCACCCAGTCCTTTGGGTTTTGTCACTGTGATTTTGTGTTTGGGGTATATACAGGGGGAGATGTCATTGTCTTGTCTTTTATTGTGTCCTTGCCTCTAGTACTCTGAATGGAGCAGCTCTCCACGTCTGTTCAGTCCTGCTCCCTACCAGGAGCTTGGAAGTGTTAAGAATAAACACTCCAGAGCAGGGGAAAATGTGTTTAGCCATTCATCTTTTTCTCTTGCTATCCACAGATTAACTGTGCTAATAAGGAGGTAACTTCGTAGGAGCTGCTAAGATGGGCATGAGGATCAAGCTGCAAAGCACCAACCACCCCAACAACCTGCTAAAGGAACTCAACAAGTGCCGGCTCTCAGAGACCATGTGTGACGTCACCATCGTGGTGGGGAGCCGCTCCTTCCCAGCCCACAAGGCTGTGCTGGCCTGCGCAGCTGGCTACTTCCAGAACCTCTTCCTAAATACTGGGCTTGATGCTGCCAGGACCTATGTAGTGGACTTTATCACCCCTGCCAACTTTGAGAAGATTCTGAGCTTTGTCTATACATCAGAACTCTTCACTGACCTGATTAATGTTGGGGTCATCTATGAGGTGGCTGAGCGTCTGGGAATGGAGGACCTCCTCCAGGCCTGTCACTCTACCTTTCCTGACCTGGAGAGCACTGCTGTGGCCAAGCCCCTGTCCAGCACCAGTGAGGGCCACTCTAGTACCCTGAGTTGTCTTACAGCAGAATCTTCTCATCCCCTTGGAGAACTCCGGGGTGGTGGGGAACACTTTGGTCCTGATAGAAACTATGTGTTACCCAGTGATGCTGGAGGGAGCTGTAAAGAGGAAGAGAGGAATGTTGCCAGTGACACTAACCATAGCTTGCCTCTGCCACAGCCACCTCTGCCACCAAAGACAGAAGACCATGATACCCCTACTCCTTTTACATCTGTCCCTAGTGTGGGGACCCAGCCAGTCCTAGGCACTGTCAGCACAGGCATTCAGACCAGCATGATCTCCTGCCAGCCATACAAAGTCCAAAGCAATGGAGACTTCAGTAAAAACAGCTTCTTCACCCCTGACAATACAATAGACATTACCACTGGGACCAACTCCTGTCTGAGCAATAGCGACCACTCCAAAGATGCTGGCTTTGGCCAGATGGATGAACTACAGCTAGAGGACCTAGGGGATGATGACTTGCAATTTGAAGACCCTGCTGAGGAAATAGGCACAACTGAGGAGGTGATTGAGCTGAGTGATGACAGTGAGGATGAGCTGACTTTTGGAGAGAATGACAATCGGGAGAATAAAGCCATGCCCTGCCAGGTGTGCAAGAAAGTTCTAGAGCCCAACATTCAACTGATCCGGCAGCATGCTCGGGACCATGTGGACTTGCTGACAGGCAACTGCAAGGTCTGTGAGACCCATTTCCAAGACCGAAACTCCCGGGTGACCCATGTCTTGTCCCACATTGGTATTTTCCTCTTCTCCTGTGACATGTGTGAAACTAAATTCTTTACCCAGTGGCAGCTGACCCTTCACCGACGAGATGGAATATTTGAGAACAACATCATAGTCCACCCCAATGATCCCTTGCCTGGGAAGTTGGGTCTGTTTTCAGGGGCACCCTCCCCAGAGTTGAAATGTGCTGCCTGTGGAAAAGCACTGGCCAAAGATTTCCATGTGGTCCGGGGCCATATCCTTGATCATCTAAACTTGAAGGGCCAGGCCTGCAGTGTCTGTGATCAGCGACATCTTAACCTCTGCAGCCTCATGTGGCACACGCTCTCCCATCTTGGCATTTCAGTCTTCTCCTGCTCTGTCTGTGCCAATAGCTTTGTGGACTGGCATCTTCTAGAGAAGCACATGGCTGTGCACCAAAGTCTGGAAGATGCCCTCTTCCGCTGCCATTTGTGCAGCCAGAGCTTCAAGTCAGAGGCTGCCTATCGCTACCATGTCAGCCAGCACAAATGCAACAGTGGCCTTGACACACGGCCTGGTTTTGGGCTACAGCACCCAGCTCTCCAGAAGCGGAAGCTGCCAGCAGAGGAGTTTCTGGGTGAGGAGCTGGCTCTGCAGGGCCAACCCGGGAACAGCAAATATAGCTGCAAGGTCTGTGGCAAACGGTTTGCGCATACCAGTGAGTTTAACTACCATCGGCGGATTCATACGGGTGAGAAGCCATACCAGTGTAAGGTATGCCACAAGTTCTTCCGAGGGCGCTCAACCATCAAATGCCACCTCAAGACGCACTCGGGGGCCCTTATGTACCGCTGCACAGTCTGTGGCCACTACAGTTCCACCCTTAACCTCATGAGCAAACATGTTGGTGTGCACAAAGGCAGCCTCCCGCCCGACTTCACCATAGAGCAGACCTTCATGTACATTATCCATTCCAAAGAGGCAGAAAAGAACCCAGACAGCTGACTGGGTGCCAGCAGAGCCAGGGGAGCACCCAGCAGTAGCCAGGACATTGATTTTCTCATGACTGTTGGTCCCTTCCCAGCTGAAGTTACGATTTTGCCTTGCTAGGAATTCTCTTTTGTGTTGTGTTTAAAGAAGAAAAAAGAAGAAATAGCACATAAGCTGTTACTTTTTTTGAGAAGCAACAGCCCTATTGCATTTACCTCCATACCTGTTCCTGCCCATGAAGGGCTGTTTTTTTTTATTATTTTGAAGCTGGTTTTGGGATCTAGGCAAGCTTGGTATAACCTAGATCCCTTTCCCCAGCCTCTATAGTTTAGTTTACTGATAGGTTTTATGCTGCTAAGAATCCAACCAACAGCCTCACTGAATCGAGGAGGTGAAGAGATTTTCACTGTGGGTATTGCCACCAGGCCACCAACTGGGACAGCCAGCTATGAGAAAGATTTTGGGAGTGTGGTTATTCGGAAGAGGCCAGTCAGCAGGGCAGCTCACCTCAGGTTCCAGTGCCAGTCCTCAGCAGGGAAAAGATGTCAGATGGAGATGGAGGTGCTTGCTTGCTCCATGGCCCTAATCTGCTGCTTGATCATGGAACATCTTTTGGCAGCTAGATCCAAACTGGAAACAAAGCTTTCTTTTTAAGTTAGAAAGCTTTGGGACGAATCCTTGCCAGCCAGAAGGGGTGTCCTGTAGTGCCATCAGAAGTGGCAGCCTGGATGTATAGGAAAGGAGGTTTCTCTTCTTGTTTCCAAAGAAAATTATGGAATGATCACCCAGGATACCAGGCTTTCTCTATGGGGCAAAGAAGACAGGGAGCCACTTTGATGTAGTCACCTGTCATTTTGGCCACTTCCTTTGGCCTCAAGTTTCCTGGTGGAGAGGTGGGGATGTCTCTGACAGCAACAGCCTTGCCTTAATTTATATCCAGTCTCCCACCTGGAAAAGTTCAACCCTTAGAGTAGAGGAGAAGACTCCATGAAAGCCTTTCAGGTTTAACAGGACCTGAGTAACTGGCAGTGTGTAGCAGGGTGTGCATTCTGACTGTCCCAGTCAGGTAACCTGTTGTTTACTTTGTGCTGACAGTGTGGGAGCTTTGGCAGCTCATCTTTGACCTGCTGGAATTTATCCTGGTCTGTGGTTGCTTCACCTCTAGGGGGTGCTGTTGGATGGCAGCTGGTTCAGGCCCCCAGGTGTCTGGGAATGTGTCTGCCTAGTCCTCGAGGCCAGTTGGCTCCATTCTTAGTTGTTTTTCTAGGGGGTCTTTCCCAAAGAAGGCTTGAGGGAGAGACCCTCAATCTCACGTATTCATGAGGTGGCCCCTCAGCAGCTCATACTACCTCACCCTGCTCAGGCAAGCTCTGGGAGTCCCAGCTTCAGCCCTGACACTACTGTGGGACTCAGCAGCACCCGGGCTGTTTCACAAGCAAACGGTTCTAATTAACTCACAAAGCCTTTTTGGACATTAATATTTATTTATTTTTTTGTTTTGTTTTTGTATATGCATTACCTAGCATCTCTTTAGGGTAAAAGACTTCAGGAAAATGAGTTTCTCCCCAGCAAGTAGCCATATTCCAGAGGGACAGTCCTAGTCAGAGATTTGGGGATTAGGGGTCAAACTAGGGGAGAACATGTCATACCTTTTAAACAAGCAAATTCTTTTCTTCCTCTCCAGATAGCCTCTAGCATAATAAATCCAGGGAACTCTTTAGGCAATGGGTACTAGTTCTAGATAGAAAATTGGAGCCAGTTAAATTTTGTGGCCTTTCCTCCCCCTTCCATCTTGGAGTAGATTAGAGACTGCGTTGAAGGACCTTTTTGCACAGTTTCTCGTCCTTACACTTGGGAAGCTGTCCTTATCTGTGTTAAGGCACATAGGCAAAGCAAGGCTCATATCCGTTGGACATGCTGCCTCTCCTCAGCCCTGGAGATAAAGCCACAGAGTTGAAGCACATGGCTTGGCTATCTGGAGGGGTGGCCGTTAGATGAAAGGACTTGCACAGTGGCCAGTTTAAAGGTCCTCCCCTTTGACCCATCTAAATCCAGTTTGACCAGTGTCCCCTCAGGACCTTCGCATCAAGAAAGTAGTGTTGAGACTTTTCCTTACTGACTGGCTTTTCCCTCCTTCCACTGACCATTAGAAACCTAAGAAGGAAATGTGTAACAGACCAGCAGATGTCTGCTAAACTTTTCAGAATGAATAATCCCTCCCAGGCTGTTGGTGAGGACTGATTTTTGAATGGCTGGTTTGAGAGCAACAGTAATTTCTGGAACCCAGTCAGGTAGCTGAAAGTACATAAATATACTGGAGAAACCCTTTTCCTTAACAGAGAGTACCATGGATGCTGGTGGTCTGTATACTTAACCTGAAACTGTGAAGTTTTCCCTTTTGCCAGTAAACCAAAAAGCAGACCCTTAAAATTTTGCCCTTGAAACACTAAACAAAGCCCTGCAACCCCATACCCCAAGGCTGCGGTTGGTCAGGGTGGTCCATTAGGTCCCCGACAAATATGTCACAGGATATGTCATGAGGCTTGTTGACCAAACCCTGTCCCTCTGTGTGTCCCCCATGGTCACTTCTGATGTCACGTTTGCTTCCTTTGTCTCGAGCTTAGCCTTTTCTTAATTGTTTTACTTGAAACGCTGTGTCATGGCAAAGGATGTTCTAGGACACCTGGGGAAGGTACTCATTTGATTTTGCAGTTTTAATTTTTCAACCTTCTGCTCATTTGCTTCTGTTGCCCCCTCTTTCCTGGAGCACAGTTGAGTATTGTCTCTCCTATCACCCTGAAGTTCTGTTTGACTCATGAATGTCCTCTGTCTCCCTTTCCCTCTTTTCTTGTTCTGTACTCTGGACCAGCAACATCAGTTGTGGAGCCCTCTTGTTCACAGAGTATTCAGAATTTCAAGCTGGCGATCATAGAGCATTAAACCAAATGCAGGGCTATATCCACCTTGTTTCCTAAGGGGAAAACGGTGTGTGCCACCCTAGGGATAAACGGCGGTGGCTGCGTGTGGCTGGAGGAGTTCAGTATCCCATCACCCAATGACCCATTGATGACTCACTGGTGCTGCAACCTTAGTATTTGGTCCTCAATTTTTAGACTGTGAAGTCCCTACAGTTCATGGCTAGTTGGGAAGAAAGAAGGTGAGATGGAGATTGGAGCAGGTAACCCCTAAGAACCAGGAGATGGGTGAAAGTTCCTATGACTTCTGTTTTGGTCTGTCAGTTCCCCTTTGTTTTTGGGACAAACCTTTGGGCTTACATACTTTTTTCTCAGTCAAACTTTTGCTCCTGATGAATTTTCTTCCTCTTCTGGCTTCCTGCTATGCCCTGTTCCCTACCCTCCAGACCACTTCCAAAGCAAATTTAAATCCCTTTACAGATGGATACTGACTTTGTTGGCATGGGAAGAGGACTGTGTGACGTGCCCTCTGCCTATCTGGGGGGCCCCATGTGTCCTTTTCCTTAACTCCTGCACCAATCCGAGTCAGGAAGCAGGAGTCAGGAAGCAGGGTGCACGGCACTGGCTTTAGTGCAATTCTGCATCATAGCATCATAGATTTAGCATCAGAATGAAGATGAAACTGTTTTGATTTTGATGTTTGTTTAAAACCTGTCCCTCATCCAACCCCCACCTGGCCTTTAATAGCTAAAATCTCTTATGAAACAGAGAAGAGTTATTGATGTCTAACTCCTTCCATTAAATTAATAAGTACTGACCTCCTGATATTTAAGTGTTTACTATCTATTGCTGTAAAGTTTTGTATATTTTGTAAACTTTTTTCCCAAATAGTAGATGTCTAAAATCGTTGTACATCTGATTCTTTTATATTCCATTGTTCAGCACAAAGTGTGGTTTTTATTTAGAATAAAAAAAAGATTTGAAATGAGAGTTCTTTTCCTATTACTATGAATATGCGCACACCTGGAGCTCACGGTATCTGGGCTTGGCACCCTTTCAGTGGCACGTTCCTGCCCAGCAGATGCCAAAGTTCTTTCAGGCAGCTCATTTTCCTTTCCTGTAGCTGGCATTCCCCAGGATTAACTTACTGACTTGTTTTCTTGGTAGGAAATTCAGTAAAAGATTCAAACTTCTGAGGGGGACATCCCTGAGGGTATCTTCTGTCAGCCCAGAGAGAATGGTGGGACTCTGCTGGTGTCCAGCTGCGCTGACTTCCCTGAGTGAGAGTTTGGCTACAGTTTTGCCAGCACATTCAGTTCACTGCGATGCAGCATGTCTTTTGAGTGCAGAAAAGCAGAAGGAAAGTAAGGGGAGAGGAAGACTCAAATAGGGAGGAGGCAAAGGTTTGGCATGATTTCATGAGGTTGATACACATGTTCCCACAGAGGAGATGCAGTGGCAACAACCTTGGTGCAGCCAGCACAGCCAGCCTCCATTCCCCCTCCCATGGTGGGGAGGCCCTAAGGAAGGACTCGTCCTGCAGGGTGATAACTGATCTTGGGAAAATGGCCTGTGTGGCAATTGGGATGTGACAAAGAAGGGCTTAGTATCTATTTTGGGACAAGAGAAGAAAGTCTTAAATTAGATTTCTGCATTGTTAGGTTAAGCCCTCACCACGACCCGAGCCACACTGGTTCTGTGCCACCAGGCGGCTGTCTATAGCATAAATCCTTTCAGGGCTGGGCCTTGTGAGCAGGCGACAGGCAGATGTGGGTTTCGCTCCACACTTCTGCAGGGCCTGGGCATGACATGGCTGTAGCAGTGCTCAGTGCACCTGCCGAGCACAGGCTCTGAGGAGCAGAGCAGGTGGCATCCAGGATGTGCACAGTTACTCCAGTGTAAACGCTGGGACCCTGAGCACTTGAGTGGGACAGGAGATGGTGATCCCATCCACAGTCCCCTCACTCTATAAGCAGGATTAAGAGGCCAAGGATATGGACATGGAGGCTGGACACCAGAACCTGTTCTTAGGGTTTTACTTGACTTCTTCATGGACATGGTGCTAGTTTCCCAAACTGATAAATGATCCTTTTGCAGGTCTACTTGTTTTTTTTTTTTTTTTTTTGAGACAGAGCCTCAAGCTGTCCCCCTGGGCAGAGTGCCATGGCATTACAGCAACCTCCAACTCCTGGGCTCAAGCAAGTCTCCTGCCTCCGCCTCCCAAGTAGCTGGGACCACAGGCGCCCGCCACAACGCCCAGCTATTTTTTGGTTGCAGCCATCGTTGTTTGGCGGGGGCTGGGGATTCGAACCCGCCACCTTAGGTGTACGTGGCTGGCGCCTTAGCCGGTTGAGCTATAGGCGCCGAGCCAGGTCTACTTGTTAACAAGAGGACTTTTCCTGTCCATGGAACAGGTGGTATTAAACATAAATTGCCAGACAGGAAGATTATGAAAAGCTTGGCCAGGGAGAACTGACCTATGACAGCGGAATTGGGACATTTCCACTCTGCCCGTCCCCATCCCATGCAGTGGTCAAAGGGGAAGGTTAAAAAGCTCTGTCAGCATCTACTGTTGTCCCAAGGTCTGCTCCAAGAAGGGCTGTCCCTTGATACTTTCCTGTGGGAAAAGGTGGAGTTGGGGGGGTGGGGCACTTTCTGATAGCTCTGTGCCTCCCTAGAAGTCTAAAGTGTCCTAGGTCCGGGAGGAGGTCAGCTAGGAGGACATTAACTGGGACAGTGCCTGTGCTTTGGGGGCAGCAGGATAGCCAAGGGGGAGAAGTTGTTGGCAAGGAAATGAATATGTGTTTCCTGGATGAGCAGGGTGGAGAGGCCATCCTGCTAACCCAGCTGCGGAGTGTTGTCCCAGACCTGTCCCCATCCCCTCTGCTTATCAGGACACTGAGGATGTACAGCTAGGGCATATCCTGCTGAGGCCTCCCTCCTGGTTCCTTGGCCTCTGGCCTTTTATTCCCACAACCTGCACAGTGAGCTGGAAGATCAACAAGCACACAGAAACAAGAGGGAGGTTTGTGAGGTTCCTGCAGAGCTCGCTCTTTCCGGCTGGCTGGGGTAACTTGTGAAATGAGCACATCTAGCATCCTCTGCCAGCGCCTCTGTAGCCTTTGCTCACTCCCATTCCTGCCAGAGTACAGATTTTTCAGAGATCCAGAGTCATGGCTGTCTCTTATTATTTATTTCACCTTTTCTTCCTGTGTGGCTCCTTTAAATACAAGGACCAAGACAAACAATACAACACCAGGGACCTGTTCTTACCCCTCCCTGCCCCTTCTCCCCACTTTGGAGTTTTAAGATATATTCAAAATTGACCCTCTCCCTGTTGCCCCCATCTTACACCTATGCCTCCAGCCTTTTGCATCACTGGTGGAGGAGCCTGGAATCTACCTCAGTTGGATATAAGAAGTTGAGGAGTAGAGATGGGTGAGGCATTTGGAGGCAAAGAGGCTGCCTAGTTCAGGTGTGGGTGGGGTGGGGGCCTGTGGTGGGCTGGTAGTCCTGGGTGATGATGATGGAGTGCTGGGTGAACGAGGAGGAAGAGGAAGCACGTGTGCCTGCCCTGCCCTGGTCCTTGGGAAGGTACTGGACTACGGCGTTCAGCAGCCGGCCCCGGAAGCTCGGGCTGAGAAAGTTGTAGAGGATGGGATTGAGGACGCAGTGAAGCATGGAGAAACAGTCGATGATGTCATAGAAGAAATAGATCAGGTCGGCCAGGTGGCAGTGGAGGGAGATGTGGGTCCCGTGCAGTGTGAGCAGTAGCAGAGTCACGTGGTAGGGCAGCCAGCAGATGACAAAGACAGCTATGTAGGCACACACCAGCAGGCTGTGGCGCCGGCCCTCGGGCTGTCCTGGCCGCCAAAGCTGCCAGGCTGTCAGCATGTTGAAGACTGCAATGACAGGGAATGGCAGCAGGAAGCCCAGGATCGTGGTTGACAGGGCCACCACCAGGGCCCACATGCTGTAGGTTTCAAAGGGTGCCATGAAGAGACACATGGGCTCCAGGCCCTCCACCAGCTCCATGTGGACCACCTCCAGAAGAGGGATGATGGCTGAGAGGACCCAGATGCCCGCACACATGGCCCGCCGCCCTTGGTGCTGGTGCCGCTGCCAGGAGGGAGAGGTGTTGGTGAGGGTGACATAGCGGTCAACGCTGAGGCACGCCAGGAAGAAGATGCTGCTGTGCATGTTGGCGAAGTAGAAGTAGTGAGAGAAGCGGCAGGAGAAGCTGCCCCAGAGCCAGGTGTAGTCCAGCATGACCTCCAGCATCCACACAGGCAGAGACAGGATGACGCCCAGGTCTGCAATGGCCATATTGAGGACATAGAGGTTCAGCAGCCCTGCCCGGCTCCGGCAGCGCCAGTTGACAAATATCACCAGGAGGTTCTCCACCAGCCCAAACACAAACATGGCCAGGTAGAGGACAAAGAGGACCACTCGCTTGGTGTTCTCACTCAGCTCCACGTGGCACTCAGACAGCGTGTGGTTGAAGAAGGACAGCAGTTCGGTCCAATTATGAACCTTTCCCAAGTTGGCAGGCTCCATGGTGAGCCCCTCCGAGGGGCTGGGCCCCCAGCTAGGCTTGACTGACATAGGACCAGCAAGTGCCTGATGAGAAGAAGGAAGAGTTGGAAGGGAAAAGAGACCTTAAAAGCAGACTTTTGTCCCTAGGGTAGAAGGCCACAGGGACTGGAGGGCTTAGGGGTAACATTCAGAGGTTGATGAGGCAAGAAAGAGAAGTGAGTTTAGTATTCTCACTAAATGGATAAATAATGCAACTCACTTGCCAGCTTTGTTGTTGAGCAGGGTCTTGCTTTGTTGCCCAAGCTAGAGTGCAGTGGCGTCATCATAGCTCACCACAGCCTCAAACTCCTGGGCTCAAGCGATTCTCTTGCCTCAGCCTCCCAAGTAGCTGGTACTACAGATGTGCACCACCACACCTGATTAATTTTTAAATTTTCTGTAGAGATGGGGTCTTGCTGTGTTGCTCAGGCTGGTCTTGAATTCCTGACCTCAAGTTATCCTCTATTGGCCTCCCAGAGTGCTAAGATTACTGGTGTGAGCCACCAAGCTTGGCCCACTGACGGCTTTGACCCAAGAGCAGACATTCTTTGTTAAGGGGGTTCTAGTATCAGAAGAGACCAGGACTTTTGGTGCCCACCAAGATTTCCTCCCAGTGCCAGCCAGTCCCACCTTCTCCATCCCTAGGTGGTCTCTGGCCTCTACTTCTCATCTGGCATTTCACTCCTTGGCCCTTTTGAGGAGCACTCCCTCACTAATCTTGCTCTGTCTTGTTATTTGCGCCTGGGTGTGGGCCTTACCCCTAAGCTCTCATTCATACCTGGGAAAATCTGTGGATCCAGCAGGAGAGCCAGTTATCTCCAAGCCTTGATTCTCATGTCCCGTGGGGGAAGGCAACAGGGATGCTCACCTGAATTTCCCCGGGAGCACTTTAGTCCCGGAGGACTGGAGGTTCCAGGCAGTTGGGACCTTCCAGGAGGTGAAGAGGCGACAGGGCCAGTGGCTGTGGGGCTAGTGATGTTGCTGGCTTCAGCACTGCCCTTCTCATCCAGGAAGTTGCTACCACTGGCTGAGGCTCTGTGGGATAGGGCCAAGGTTTTTCCCTGTGCTTTCCCAATCCAGTTCAAGGGGCTGTCACAGTGTGCCAGTGGTGGGAGGTCAGGTTTCAAGCACAAGGCCAGACTCTTGACTCACTAGCTATATGAATTGACCTCTTTCTTTAGCCTCAGTTCTTCTCTCTGCAAAATGGGGACAACTATAGCAGGTACTAACAGGGGTATTGTAAGAATGAAAAGAGCCATCACAGAAAGCCCTTAGCATGGGGCCCTGTGTGGTGAGTGCTTTGTGTGTGTGTGTGTGTGTATGCCTGTGCACCTCCCTTAAGTTGACTTATTCCTGCTAGAGTGGACCTGGACAGGAGCTGTGGGGCTAAAATGCATCTGAAAAGCCAGCTGAGATTTGAATGACTCTGGCCTGGACCCTGCTAGTTGGTGCCCACCCCTGCCTTCTCCTTTCTCAGGGACTCCAGCTCCCTGCCTTCCCTTTGTGCTTGGAGAGGAGAGTCTGGGGGAGGGTAAAGACTGGCTGTGGGGTGATGAGGGGATAGGGAGGGGCTGTGCCAAAGCTTCAGGAGATCCCTGAGTTGGGAGGGAGAGAGGAGGCAGCATCCTCTTCCCAGGGCTCCCCCAGGGGCATAGCCTATGCTGGGGCCCAGAGTGGGGTGTGGGGGAGAGATGCCCCCTGCCTCTGCGTTCGTACTTGTGTTGTTGGTGAGCATTTGTGTCACCAGAGCTTCCTGCCTTCCAGAGCATTTTCACCTCAGTTAATCTCGTTGGATTTTTGAGACACCCCTGTGTGTGGGGGGAGGATGGGCTTCTGCATCTTCCTGTCTTTTTAAGGCATGCATGTGGCGGTGGCGGCACCACAACCCAGGCCCATGTTTTAGAGGCAGGAGGGCCACAGGCGCATTGGCGGGAGGGCATTAAATATATACTTAATTGAGGTGAAATTTCCATAACATAAATTAGCCATTTTAAAGCGTACAGTTGAGTAGTATTTAGTATATTCATGTTGTGAATATGAATTCACCACCTCTGTCTAGCCCTAACCATTTTCATCTGAAAAGAAGACCCTATATCCATTAAGCAGTCACTTCCTCTGCCCGCCTCTCCCCAGGCCCTGGCAACCACCATTCTGCTTCTATCTCTGTGGATTTGCCTATTCTGAGCATTTAGTATAAATGGAATCATATAGCATGTGTTCTCTCTTGTCTTTTTTTTTTTTT